GTCCTTCAGTCACTGACAGGAATATGCTCAGGAAACAGGAAAGATGCTGCAAACAATCTTTAATGCTGTTTTACTCATGACAGTTTTAGTCCAGATGTGCAAAACTAAATGACCTCTCAGAGTTTTTGTTAACAGCTCACTTACCTCACGAATGGCTAATCTGTCACTCAGCTCCTCAGCCCTGGTAATGTCACCTTCAGCCACACACTTCTCTATGCTCAGTTCAAGGCCAGACTATGGAAAATAAAAAAAGGTAAATGCCTTTAGAACAGAAATAACATATTTAAAGAGAATACCTCCTTTCTAAAATTAATTCTTTCATAAAATTCTTTAAGACACTGCATAAACCTGTAATTTCTGTGCACCACAAATCACTCTGTCTGTGTATTGTAATGGACAGTATAATTAAGAATTCACTGAGAGGCCACCTGAGCACAAATCATTGCATTAGTTCCACCTTATGTGCAGGATAATACTATAGGTTAAAAAAATTACACGGGCTAGTTTATGCCTGTCACAATAAAATTTCATCTGAAGATCTGGCTTATCTCTTCCATCCCTGGAGCTTTCTAAACAAAATGTGAAATGTATGTGTCAGGTAACATGAAGAATGGCAATTACCACTGTATCGTTACAGCTCTAAGATCTAATCTTTACCCAAAAAACAGAGTTCTGGCACAAAGCCACTCCACTGTGTTAATAAATTAAGAATTCTAGCAGCTCTGTGGAAAACAACAAAAAAGCTTCAGGATTTTAAGGTTGTTTTCTTATTTTCAGAGGTAAACATAAGTTGTTTAATGGCAACACTTACAAATAACATAACAATAAAAAGTAACTATTTCCTGGAAATCCTAGTTGTAAACTTCTGATGGAATACAGAAGGGTAGCACTGACTTCAGAATTTCACAAAAAAAACTCAGTCTCATAACAAAAGAATTTACAGCCTCACTGGTTTTAAATATTAGTGAAGCTGAAGAAAATACATTTGACAGTTCCATAACATACACTTTTTTATGAGATAAAAAGTGAAAAAGCTAATGGAATTCTTGAGAAACAGTGATCTGCAAACACTACATTTGAATTACTTCAGGGGGTAGATGAAAAAAAAGGCACAGTTGGTAGCTGCACTGATAGCAAATTCTGTTAAGATGCCTTTTCTGAAAATAACAAGACATATCTTCCACTAGTGATAATATCCCCGAAATTACAATGAAACCATCTGCATTTTAACACTTCGGGCCTCATTCCAGATCTATCCTGAGCACTTTAATGACAACTAAATAGCCACCAAAAGTAAGAAGCAAACAAATCTTCATGACCTGCACATAGCCCTACCAGAAACTCACAGTATAGTGAGATTCTTAACTTATCCATCATGTTTGCCAATTATTTCAGATATGACTAGTTACACTGTAATATTTATGAATATAACGTGTTATGAATCCAGTAAAAATGTATGCTAGGTTTGCCCCTTTAATTCTTGTAGCCACTGGTGACAACTGAAGGTTTATGTGACACATTTTAAAGTTAAAAAACAATGAAGCAAAACAAAAGGAAAAGTCAAACAATGCATATGATGTGTTCTCTCTCTCACAACAGCAAAAACAAAACCAGACAGGAAACAAGCCTGGATATGGTCTTAAGAGAAAGCACAGCAACCATTTAAGGACATTTACTTAAAAAGTTCACAAAATCATCCTTCCTCAGAGTGACTGTATGCTCTACTCTCAAATAGCATCTGTTTCATTCCTATCTCAGTTAAGGACAAGCTCTTTTACTGCCACATACAAGATGACACTGCCTTTGTAATAATAGTCACCTTTTGTGGAGCCCTGCTGTTCAAAGGTGATTCAAATCTATCATTGATTCCAAAGTATTGTGTAAGTTCTTTCCATTTGTCTTCATTTTCCAACTGCTGACTACTAAAAATAAACACACAAACAAGTCATTACGATAACCACTTCCCCTTCCACAACCTTTCAAAGCTAAAATAAGCACTTCCATTTGGCAGACATGGCCTTTTCACCCATTCAGTTTTTAAATTAAGATAAATTAATTATTCCTGCCCCTTTGTAAGTGTAATTTCACAATCTTAAAAGCAAGCTGATAGAATCATAACATCATATTTAGGCTGAACAAGTTCTTTTAAGATCGAGTCTAACCATAAACCTAACACTGCCAAGGAGGAAGAAGAAGGGAAGGAGCAGGGTGAACAACAACTTGTATGAAGGAACTAGCAAGAACATAGCAAGTCTGTTAAAAGTTACATTAAATAACATATTTGTGGTGATTTTTAAAATCAAGCAATAACACTCCAACAAGCAATCACTAGTAAAAATTCAGCCTGCCCAACAGAGACACTGAACAAATTTAAAAGGTATTTTACACAGTGCTGAAAGCTAGGCTTTGGCTATGAATGTGGTTGAGCTTATTACAAGTTTTCCCTGCTACTAACAGACCTCAGGTAATCCCATTGACCTGGTTATACCTCTTAGCCACTTCATCGGTCTTTCTCTGTTTTGCTAAGGGGAAGAAAAAAGAAAAAAAAATCCAACATTACACAGTGATACCCCACAGCGTCCAATGAAGTTAAAAGAGCTGTAATTGGTCACATTTCCTTTGAAAGATCAACATACTGAGATTTTTAACCAACGTTCACGTGGATTTAAACCACCTAGCTGCAAGAAATCCCTGCGATTTCTGTGAAGTTTTAACCAAATGTACAAAATTAAGTTTCATAGAACTACTGTAATACACTTCACCATTATAAATCAGTATTAATTGAGTAAGCTCTGCCTCCTTTTTAAGAAGAGGACAAATATATTACTTGCATTCTATGTAGCAATCAACAACCTCACTACAACCCTGCAAGTGATGTATGCAAGTGGAAAAATAAAATCCTAGATAACAGCTAGAATACAATTATTAACTTAAAAAAAAACAACCCTCAAAAACCAAAAACACCAACCCTACAAAACAGCATGCATTGATACTAATTCAATTTGAAAAATATGAATTCTGTTAATCTAAAAAACCCCACCTTTTCGGTGGCGCTTTCTTTTCCGGCATCTGTTTTCCTCTTTTACTTGCATTTTCATTTCACGGTGTTTCTTCTGAAGCTCCACAAATTTCTACAAGATTATGAAAAAGCAAGTCAGCATTTTTAATTTTCCCCCCATTTTTAAGAAATTACATAGAGAAATGTTTAATTATCCACAATGCCTTGTGTCACTTATTATATCCCAATTTATAAATTGAGACCACGTGACTCTGATGGTGTTAAACTGGTATTGGTGCTAATCTTTGATCACCTCTCTCTGACTTCCTGCCCTCCCTACATCCCATGACTGTTCAGATCTGACAGCTCTCTCATGGGATGTGACATAGAACACACTTTTGCTTGTTGTGCACTCCTGAGCTACACCATGTATTTCTATTGCCCAGCTGGCAGTCTGTAATCCACAAATTAGTGACAGCCTGGTCCTTGCACAGCAGGCTGCTACGAGGATTGAGGGATGAAAGAGGACAACTATTTTTTGCCAATTCTTACTTTGAATCCAAAGCCTGGAACACATTGTTTTGATAAGGGTTTTCTGGGTTTTCCCCAGTCTTTACATGCAACTGCAAAATCAGGAGGCTATAAGGAACTCTTGAGTCTGATTGTTTGCAATTAAGCCCTGCAGCAAGCAGCAGGGCACACCTCCCCTTCCCAGGTATCCCCCAGAGAGGCTGAAACATTGAGCTGTAAATCCTTAACAATGCAGAAAGCCCCTACCAAGCGGCTCAGAGCCCATAAACCATTGAAAACACAAGTTCTATGCAACTGTATAGTTATGACAACTTCTTGCTGTGCTTTCAATCACCACCAAACTACCACCTAATCACTTCCTTCCTGTTCACCTTGCTTTAAACTATCTAAGGTTTGTATACTCAGATCATATTATAACTAATTTCAGATCAGTATATTGACTATCCAACACTGAATTATTTTAAGCTAAAAATCAGCCATTTGAGTACAGTGAATTATATTCATCTGGAGACCTGTAATGATACATACATTCCAGATATTTACAGAAACTCCAGGAGGGCACGTTTGAGATTCACTTTCTTCATCTGTCACTGGTACAATAGGTTCACTGCTGGCATTACTTTCCTGCCCAGTCCCCTGAACTCCTTCAGTATCTTCTTTTGCTTCTTGCTTTGAACAGGAATCAGGCGATTCATCTCCATCATCAGAACTCAGATCAACATCACTTTCATTCAGTCCTGGAGGCAACAGCCCACTCCACATCTTCCAGTTTAAGTAAGTCCAAACTATTTCAAGTCACTGCAAAGACACCAGGTTACCCATCCCAACACAAAAACACCCTGCAGAAGAGAAAAACAGATAAGGCAAAACACGTCATCAGAAATATTTTTGCTTCTTACATAACTATCATTACATTTTTTTGACAAGCACATTATAAAGGTCCTAATACTTACTATTTCAGAAAGAAGAAGACAACTTGATTACAGAGGCTGAGAATACTGGCTTTTTTCCCCCCACTCCTTGTCCTTTTAAGCTGTGTCCCTACGCGTTTGCTGGCAGCTCCTTTCAGTTTAGGGGTGACACTGTAGCAAACGCGCCCCGTGCCTCCGCAGGGGCAATTTCCCTGAGGAGCACACGCAGCTCCCTTGGCCGCCGGGACAGGGAAGAGCCGCTCCGGGGAGGCGGCAGGCCGGGGAAGCGAGGGGGGCCCGCTCCGGAGGCAGCGACGCGAAGAGAAACCCAGCTCCACGCCAGCCTAGGGGAAGACAGCCGGCTCTCGCCTTCCCGCCAG